AAAAAAAAAAAAAAAAAGCTAAAGATAAGGACAGGTGGGCGGGGACTGGGAAGGTGGCTCAGTGGTAGAGTGCTTGCCTTGCATACATCCCTGGGTTCAATTCCTCAGCACCACATAAGCAAAAAAAAAAAAAAGCTGGAAGTGGTACTGTGGCTCAAGTGGTAGAGCACTAGCCTTGAGCTGAAGAGCTGAGGGACAGTTCACAGGTCCAGAGTACAGGTCCCACTACTGACAAAAAAAAAAAGTTAAAGATAGTTGTCTTCTTTTCAGATTTTTTTGGGGGGGTTGGTTGTGGGGCTTGAACTTAGGGTGTGGGTGCTGTCCCTCAGCTCTTTTGCTCAAGGCTAGCGCTCTACCACTCTGAGCACTACTTCCAGTCATCTTTTACTTAGCTCATGGCTACCTATCCAAACTCTTCTGTTGGGCAACCTCATCAGTTAATGAATGCAGTCAATCACCAGGAAGTAAGGCAACCTCAACAAAATCTGGCACACACTCAAACAAGAATCAGTCTCTGTAATGGCTTGTTTATGTTTATATATCTAAACTTAGTTACTTAGTTCTTAAAGTCTCCTTTGAATAGAATATTCAATTGGTGGTTGATGTGGCTCAAGCAATAGATTATCTGCTTAACAAGTGCAGCCCCGAGTTCAAATTCCAGTACTGCCATAAAAGAAATAAAAAGAAGAAAGTCTCTATGCAGCTAAATTATGGATAACTTTGGCAAATTTTTATTTTTCTGTGCAGACCTTACTGCTCTTTTTGGTGGTGTTGGAGGTTGATTAACCAGGGACTTGGAGTTGGTAGGCTATGTACTTTAGTTATTTTTCATATGGGGTCTCAAATTTTTGTCCAGGTCTTGCCTTGAACTGTGATCTTGTATTGGATCATAAACATGCACCAATATGCCTGGTTTGTTGGCTGAAATGGAGTCCCTGTTTTTACTGGAGCTAGTCTTAAAGCTCAGTCCTTTCAAACTCTGTCTCCTGAGTAGCTGGAATTTTAGCCATGTTAGCTGGCTGGACCTCACTGTTTTTACCTAGACAGTGAACATATTGAGTTAGAGAAACTTTTAGTTTGAGTTTCTTTAGTGCTAAGATTTTACAATGTTACATTTATTATGCAGAATATTTGTCTTCAATGAATTTTTCTTTTATAAAGTAAAGGAAATTTATTATTATAATAGTTTTTTTTTCTTTTTGGATCCGGTCGCGGGGCCTAAACTCTGGGCCTGGGCGCTGTCCCTCAGCTCTTCAGCTCAAAGCTAGCGCTCTCCACTTGAGCCAGAGCACCACTTCCGGCTTTTTTCTTTTTGCTTATGTGGTGCTGAAGAATCAAACCCAGGGCCTCAGGCATGCAAGGCAAGCACTCTACCACTGAACCACCTTCCCAGCCCCAATGAGCAGCCGTTTTTGAGCCCTTAATTCATTATCTTCATTATCTTCTTTGTACAATAGTTATATTAGGCTAAATTTGAATCTGTTTCCCTGGTGTATGGTTTGACTTTGACTTGAAAAGACAGTTCAAGTCTTTTGTTTTCAGTCTGGCCTTTTCTGTTCATGTGGTGCTGAGGAATTGAACCAAGGGCCTCAGGCATGCAAGGCAAGCTCTCTACCACTGAGCCACCTTCCCAGCCCCCACTGTAATAGTTTTCTTCCTTGTCTTTCAATAACTTTCTAGCTATCTTTGAAAGGCCTGAAGAGTCTTCCTTTGAAAATCTTCATCATCTGTGTCAAATCATGACAGATCTCTAAAATTTCTTTTTTTTTCCTTCCTTCCTTCCTTCCTTCCTTCCTTCCTTCCTTCCTTCCTTCCTTCCTTCCTTTCTTCCTTCATTCCTCCCTACCCTCCCTTCCCTCCCTCCTTCCTTTCTTTTGGGTTGGTCGTGGGTCTTGAACTCTGGGCCTGGCCCCTAAGCTCTTCGGCTCAAGGCTAGCCCTCTACCACTTGAGCCACAGCACCACTTCTGGTTTTCTGGTGCTTAATTGGAGATAAGAATCTCATGGACTTTACTGTCCAGACTGGCTTTCAACCATGATATTCAGATCTCAGCCTCCTGAGTAGCTAAGATTACAGGTGTGAGCCACCAGCACCCAGCTAAAATTTCTTTTTAAAAAACAAAGTAGGGAGGAAATTTTGGCAGGGTGGTATAGCTAAGTGGTTTTATGCTTGCCTAGCATTTTCAAGACTACAACATCATGATATTCGATTGCATTTATTAAATAAGTAGTAAATTGTCTCTAGATGGTAATGAATGTTCGACTGTATTAACTGTATTTGTGGTGCTGGGTCTTGTATCACTAAGCCATATCTCCAGCCTTCAACTATATTTAAGTCTTTATTTGGCCAGGCATAGTAGCACATACACTGTAATCCCAGAACCCTGGAGGTTGAGGAAGGAGGATTATGAGTTCCAGGGCAACATGAGCTACATAGGTCTTTCTTCACAACAAATAAACAAGTGAATGTATATATGTGTGTACATTTGGACAAGCAAGATAACATGCAAAAATGAAAATCATTTTGTTAGTATAGTACGAGTGTTATTAAAAAAGTTTATTACATGTTCTCCCCTTTAATAAAGGGGAGCAAAGCAGTATACTGTAGCTATAAAGATAGAATGGAGAGCTGGGAATATGGCTTAGTGGTAGAGTGTTTGCCTAGCATGCATGAAGCCCTGGGTTCGATTCCTCAGTACCACATAAACAGAAAAAGCCAAAAGTAGAGTTGTGGTTCAAGTAATAGAGCACTAGCCTTGAGCACAGAGAGGCTCAGGAACAGAGCCCAGGCTCTGTGTTCAAGCCCCAGGACCAGCAAAAAAATAAATAAATTATATATATATATATATATATA